ACACACACACACACACACACACACACACACACACTCCTCTCTACACGCACATACACACCCCTCTACACACACACACACAGCAACCGTACTGGGCCGTACATCAATAATAGGTCTGCTCGACTCTATTGTTTCTCCCCTCTTATGGAGAGTTTGGACAGCGTACTCCCAACTTCCCAAGGTGTATTAATGACTCGGCACTGGTAAGGGAAACATGGACCGACTCCTACAGCAAAACAGAAATTCAATGGGTTTGCTAGGTAAAAACTTAAAAGAGAATGTATTTGCTTTTAATTACTAGATATTAACAGAATGGGTTTGATATAGATATTAAAGAGAATAGGTGTGCTTCAGAAGAGGCAAGAAGGCAATGTGAATGTTGCAGAAGACATGTCAATGGCCGAATACGGCGAATAGGCTTGCACTAGACCATCAGTGCTTGAGCAAGGTGAGTCTGTATATGTGTTGCCTTCTCACAAGTTTTCAGGGATCGTGCGCTAGCCTCCCTGGCAGTGCCTGTGGCCCTGTGCCTATTTGAAATTCAAGCGCATTTGGAGACCCGCAGAGGACGAAGGAAGGGTCTCAAGTTTCTCAACTAATGGTGGTTTCAAAGAAGTGCAAAACTGTGCAAGCCTGCAAGGGACCACACACTTGACCCTTCGCCTCACAATGCTCACCGTGACATGCCCAAAATAGACGACATCCGTGACATCAGTGTTGACTGAATTATCTTGTAAATTTAGTTGTAATCTCATCTCACCCTTCATTAATCACAATCGCACTGGCAGAACCTGGACCCTCCGACGATCCAGTGCCCTTCCCACCCGCTTGTTGCCCCTGCGACTTCAGGCTGTCATCTGTGTTGGTGTCATCATCATCTTCTCCCTCTCCCGCTCCCTCTCCCTCTCCAGGCTCTCCTTCATCTGCTATACCATCTGCCAGAAAATGCAGGTCAGCATTTGGATCGGCTTGTGCTGCTGCAAGTCTCATAACCTCCACGGATGCATCTGCAAAACAGAGTTTGTGTGTGTGTGTGTGTGTGTGTGTGTGTGTGTGTGTGTGTGTGTGTGTGTGTGTGTG